ACCACCACCACCACCACCACCACCACCATACTATGGGAGTCCAAGTGTGGCGCTGTGAGTTAACACGCTGGATTGCAAACTCGGTTTGAACCACAAAATTCAAGTTCACCAGCTGCTCCTCCGAAACCATATACAGGTCATTACAGGTTAGAACTAAGTCGACGGTACTTAACAAGAAAGACAACATTATGATATGGGTTCTTTTAAAATTAGGAGTGAAGGAATTTTGATTTGCACAAGGAAACCTAACACCAAGGAGCTTGAAAATGTTCATGTGAAAATCCCATTATCTTTTCATTCCATTTTTCCACAAACTTGTTGAAACCCCATCATTTTACAGTGCCTCCCTTTGCTATGGGGGCAGATAGACTGGTCCTCCCCCATGCCCTACAACATTGGGGTCAGACAGATGGAGGTGGCTGACCAGTGTCTAGATCTATTACTTTGGGTGTGTTACTTAATTCCCAGGAACCTTATCTTGGATGGGCTGACGGATTACCATATAGGGTCATGGAGAAAGGGTTCAGGGAGCGGCCTGAGAGCAACTGCCCCCACCCCCCACCGCCCCATCACCAGAACCCTTAACCCACTTAGGTTTGTTATGGGACTGAGAAAATGAGACGCTCTCTGTGTGTCTCTCTCTGTCTGTCTCTCTCTGTCTGTCTTTCTCTCTCTGTCTCTTTCTATCTTTGTCTGTTTCTGTCTCTCTCTCTGTCTTTGTCTGGCATACACATACACACATACACACTTCTCTGTCTCTCTCTGCCTCCTTCTATTCCGGCCTTAGTCTCTGTCTGTCTGTCTGTCTCTCTGTGTCTGTGTCTCTCACACACAAGCCTGTAGTTTTTAGACCATCCCCAGTGGGGCTGTGGGTAGACAGCGCCGCGTGTCCCTCTGTGCAGGGAGATCTGGGTTCATGGGGGACCCCCGCTATCCCTTGTTTGGTTCCAGTTCTCTTTGAGGAACTGTGGCTGACAGCCATGACTTTATCCATTACCTATTTACTTTGCCGTTCCTCTTATCCAGAAATCATCTTTAAGCACAACACCCTGCCCCCACAGTGTCTGTGCCCCGTGGTGACACCTAGGATACAGAAAGGGGTGAAGCTTCATCCCAGGAAGTCTTGGGTTTGAATCTTGACTCGGCCACCTCCCTGCTGGGTGGCTTCAGGCAGGTTACTCAACCTCTCTGTGAAGGGTTCCTGTCCTAGAATCTGTGCTGGAGGTGGGGTGAGGGTACGAATCTCAGTGGTGCAGCATGTGTTTACTATAGCTTATGAGTCATTTCTAGGCTTGGATTGCTGGTTCCTAAAATCCTAAACCCTGGTATGGTGCTGTAGACTAGGCACTGGACTGGTAACTGCAAGGTGGTCAGTTCAAAGCCCCCAGCTGCTCTGGGAAGCCTTATACAAGGTCACTATGAGTTGGAACTGACTCGACAGCACACAGCAAAAACCATGAGAAGATCTTCAGTGGAAGCCCTGGATGGTACAAATGGTCAGTGTGCTTGGCTGCTCCCTGGGAGGTTGGAGGTAAGAGTCCACCAGAGGTGCCTTGTAAGAAAGTCCTAGTGATCTAACGTCAGACATCGAAAACCCTGTGGATTAGGAGGCACCGTTACAGATATGCACCTTGGACGACACCTGGTGGCATTGGTTTTCTGTCTGAAGGATTAGGCCCATGGTTTACTGGCACAGCCTGGCCAACTGGTATAGCGTAGTTCATAAGGTATTGGAGCTGAGTGAGTTGTGGCCGGGGTGGTCAAAGCGTGTGAGTGGCCATCTAAGATACAACCACAGGCCTCTAGTCATCTAGAGACAAAGAGAAAGAGGGAAACCAAAGACTCGGAGAAAACCTACAGATCCCAGTTCTGTTCTGACTCACATGGGGTCACCACGAGTGAACAACACCTTAACAACAATGACAGTGGCGTTGTGAGCGCTCTTGTAACCCACCAGTTGCCTTCACATCAGCTCTGACTCGTGGTTCCGATTCATAGTGACCAGATATGGGGTTTCCCAAGGCTTTACATCTTTACGGGAGCAGAAAGCCTCCTCTTTGTCCCACAGATCAGCTCGAACTGCTGACCTTGCAGTTGGCAGTCCAGTTCTTATCCTCCAGAGCCACCATGTTCCCACGTGGTCACTAGGAGAGTCAAATGAGGTCAGTACTGGCACACAGTAAACACGAGAAAACACTGA